CCCCCGGTCCGGGCCCGCCGCAGCCCCCGACAATCGCCGCCGCCGCCCCGCGGTGGTCTCAGGGCGGGGTCTGGGCTGGCTCCAACCCCCCCCGCCGCGGCCGGGGCCGACGGTGCCCGCGGAGCCTTTAATAAACTTCGGCTCGGTCTTGTAAGCGGCGCGCCGTGATGACGTCACGGGACGGGGACGCAGTGGGGGGGTCGCGCAGCGATGGCGTCATCGCCGTGCGCCCGCATTGGGGCTCGTCGCGTGAGAGTGACGTCACGTAACGACACCGCGGGTAGGGTGCTCTCGGGCGTCGCGTGCTTGTGACGCTACAACACGGTGCGTCGCACGGATATGACATCACTTCCGGGACGGGCATAGCGGGAGGGAGGCTGGCGCACAGCGGTGACGTCACTCGGAGGCGCCCGCGCTGGCGGCGGGTGAGGTGGAGCGGGGGTCTACGGGCCGCGCCGGGGGGGGGGGTCGGTGCGTGGGGTCAGCGGGGCCGCGGGGCAACTTATGGGGCAGTGAGGCGCTATGGGGGAAAATGGGGCGCTAAAACGGGCAGGAGGGCGATAGGCGGGGTTTGAGGGGCAGCCGGCGGGGCGTTAAGGCACCCCTGGGGAAGTGGGGCGAATATGGGGCGGCAGGGCACCCATAGGGCGCTGTGTGGGGGAACAGGGCGATCCATGGGGCAGGGGGGCGCCCCGTGGGGCAATAGGGCACTCAGGAGGGGGTCGGGTCAACCCATGGGGCGCCGTGTAGGGGAACAGATCACCCCACGGGGCAGTAGGGCACCCTGTAGGACACGGTGTAGGGGAACAGGGCAATCCACGGGGCAGTAGGGCACCCCATAGGGCATCAGGGCACTCTGTAGGGGGTCAGGTCAACCCGTGGGGTGCCGTGTAGGGCCACAGATGAACCCATGGGACAACGGGGCACCCTGTGGGGCACTGTGTAAGGGAACAGATCAACCCATGGGGCAGTAGGGCACCCCACAGGGCACCCCATAGGGCACCAGGGGGTCAGGTCTGCCCACGGGGCGCCGTGTAGGGGAACAGGGCAATCCACGGGGCAGTCGGGCACTCAGTAGGGGAACAGGTGAACCCACAGGGCACCGTGTAGGGCAGCAAGTCACCCTACGGGGCGCCGTGTAGGGGAACAGCTCACCCCAGAGGACGCCCTGTAGGGCCGCAGGCGACCCCCAGGCCACCAGCCCCCCCCGCCCCTCTGAGCCGCGCGTACCCGCAGGTTGGGGCGCAGGATGGCAGCGGAGGCCGGACGCGTGCAGATCTCCTTCCCGCAGCACGCGGCCGCGCTGCTGGACTCGCTGAACCGCCTGAGGCTGGAGGGGAAGTTCTGCGACGTGGCGGTGCACGTGGGGGGCCGCGTCTTCCCCGCCCATAAAAGCGTCCTGGCGGCCGCCTCGCCGTTCTTCCACGACAAACTGCTGCTGCAGGACGGGAGCCGCCTGCTGCTGCCCGCCGCCATCGACCCCGACGCCTTCGAGGGGCTCCTGCACCTCATCTACTCCGGGAGGCTGACGCTGCTGCTGGAGGCGCTGCCGGGGCACCTGCTGGTGGCCAGCGGGCTGCAGATGTGGCACGTGGTGGATCAGTGCTCCGCCGTGCTCAGGGAGCTGGAGGGCGGGGGGTGTCGCTGGGGGGGGCGCGGGGACGCGGTGCTTTGCGGGGACGC